ATCCTCTCATCACGAATGAAGCCATGAAAATGAAACATCTAGTGCTAGAGAAAAGAGGTTTAAGTCCATTCTCAGTGTATGACACCTGGTAGTTTGATGAACACAGATCATGGGGTGCCTTAAGCAGCTGCAGCCGTTCCACTGGATTTCCTATCAAGCTCCAAGCCCATACTTTGTGTCCCTGGCCTTTCCAAAGGCAATTATAACTTACAGGATTCCCCCAGAGCCCCCAAAAATGTCACTCTTAGATCCAAAACAGAAAGCAAGGTTTTAACACAGGCAGTGTTAACAGATCTCTTTGTGAGATGCCAAAACAAGAGGGCTCAGGAATGCTACCCTAACTGTGATTACCCAAGCCTTGGAAACAATTTTGATCCAAAACAATCCCATTCATAAGAGCTTTAAGGTTCTTCCTGGAAAACAACAGGAAGTTTTAAGTTTCTTTCTACAGGACATCACGACAAAACAACATCTGTGTCTTTACAAAAAGCTCCTCCTCTGCTTTCTCAGGTAGCAAGTGTCCTGTAATGGCATGGCATGGATTTCTTATGCTGTAGGAGAAACCAATTCCATGGGTCCATGTTTAAGACTGGTGCCAGCCCTGAGGCTGGCTGGGACCAAAGGTGTGCACAAAGACCCCACATGGAACTCAGTTAGGAGAACTGTATTCACAGTTTCTTTCAGAAAGCAGAATGCACTAACCACTGATAATTTGGCTGCTTCTCTTTTGTAGTGGAATCCAATCCTCATATTCAGGGGTTTATGCAATATTAAAAGAGGCAGGTGTGGAAAGAAAACCTGGCAACCCACTTCTACCACGCAGGAAGCTCTGCAGAGCACTGCAGTAGGAAATGCTAAGCACAGCATTGTGCCCAAGCTTCCCATTTCCCCCTACTATTTAAGAGCCAAAAACAAGATTTCAGGGAATCATCTCAATCTATTTGCAGTGCAGAACCTGTGGATTTCTTCTCCACAAAAACATCTACAAAATTCTGTAACAGATTTGAGGGGGTTCAGAGTTTGCAAAAGGCAAATTACAGGGGGTGAGCCCACACTTCAGGGCACAAGAGACCAGGAATGAACTCCCTCCTAAATCCAAGAAGGTTCAAAACTTCAGCTCCCCCTTCTCTGCAGGGTGTCCTCACACCAGCCCATGAATTATTGAAGACAAGAGCTGAATGAGCAGAAGCACTTGCCACCTATTCAGCTGGAACTGGGACATTAAGATAAGAAGGGAAGGTTGCTATGGTCAAGAAGCTGAACACAGAGAGGGAAGATGTGCAGAAGGGGAGGTTCTCCTTCCAGCTGTGGATTTATTTACCCAAGGACCCTTCAAAAGCAAAATGCATCACCAAGAGTGAAGGTGAAATCCCAGCACACTATACTGTTGCAAACAAGACTGAAAATCCCTTCTTTATAGGCTCTGAACAGGCTGTACGAGAGAAAAACAAGGCTTTGCCTCTGTTCCTTAAAACTGCAGGAACTGACAGCAGTAAAAATGGTTAATACTTGCTATTGTGATGGTCCAAAATCACCAGGAGTGCAAAGCCTGCTGCTTTTTGGGGCTGTTATATCTGTGGCTATTTTACAGATTTACATTGGTTTTTTATCAGTTTGAAGGAAGATATTTTCAGAATTAATGCAGATAATTTCATTAACAGGATAATGATGTCTTCTAAGGAGGCTGTGCTTTTATTTCAGCAACAAGAAAAATCCTTTGTTATTATAGTCCCTCCTAATCTTTTCCGTCTCAATACATGGGAAAATCCCTAATGCATTTTAAAGCCCAAGATTAAGATCACTTCTCACAAAGGCTAATTCTGCTTTACTTCCCTTGTATGTTTTGAGAATGCCTTTCAAGAAGTAATTTCCACCGTCAACAGATCCATTTTCCAACACTTGATTCTTTTAAGTTTACAGAAAATTCTTATTTGGTATATAAAGGCTGATCTGCCTATTTCAAAGTGGAAGACAGTCCATCAGAGGCACCCTTCTTTTCCTTAATGTTTAAAATTTTTTTACATGAAGACATTGTGGACCATCATCAAAAGGCAAAAAGCACAAAAGAAATGCCAAGAAATTAGAGTATTACGTCAGTCCTTCCAGGCAGATACAACTGATAAAAGGATTAGAGGGTGCTAGGAAGAATTTAATTTCCTGAACAAAATGATGTTATTATAGTTGAAATGAATATAATAATTTCAATAAGGCAAATCAGTTCTCTTACCTTCTGCAGCAGTAAAAAGGGACAGGTTCATTTGAATGCTTTTCTGCAGCCAAATCCAAAAAACCTACATCCAACCGACTCCTCTCTCTCATGAAATAAACCTGACCCACAAACCTCTCTGTCTTTCCTACCTTTTTTTTTTTCCCCTTTTAATTTGTGTTTGCTGCATGGCTGGCCACATCCACCTTTGTCAGTCTACAACAGTGATTTCCTTCCTACATTGACTGAAGAAGTCTCTTGGATTCAAAGCAATGCGACACACACTGACAAGTGCATTAGGAAGAGCTTCTAGGAGAAGGGAAAAAAAAGGTCTGAGGCAGACACACCAACGGCTCACCTTTTTTGTTCAATTAATTAATAAACTGTATTTTACTAAGCAGAAAGATGGACAATGTAAAGATGCATGAGGATGGATTGCCAGATGGTATAGGGAACAGGAGGTTTAAACAAGTACAGGAAAACTGGGTCAAACCCTACTGAGGCAAACTCTTCTGAATGGGAACTTTGCCTGAATAAAATTGACAGGTCTGGCTCGCTCAGGTCAGCAAAACCTGAACTTACCCACAGAAAATAAGGACTGTATCTTCTAATACAGAGCAGAGCACAAGATTTTTACTGCCATTTTTACTATACTGAACTGACAATACCGATATTTTTGTAAAAAGCAACATAATAAATTTGTAGTGAAATTATTTCTAAGTTTTTTCTGTTGCTTCAAACAGCTCTACTGTGAGTTCCTGTTTGAGAGCCAGACATAAACAAGAAGCTTCTAGTACAGTTCATTAAAGACTCAGGACATGACTTCTACCTATACTTCCCTTATAAAACTTCCATCTGCTCTTAAAAATGAAGCACTGAATCAAAATATTCCACGTTGTGGAAAAGTCTCTTTTGATTAATGTTAAAGAAAATTATTGGAAAGTTATTAAAACTCAGGACATTGTGTAAATCATTGAAACATCTCCCAAGCACTGTCCTTTCAGCCCTTGTAACCACCTCTCTGCAGGGTAAGTGCTATTATATTAATTCAATTCTACATGCCAGGAAAGAGAAAAGCAACAATGTTCACTGAGTTGCTGAGTCATTTGCACAGCTGGGAGCTGCAGTCTGGCAGTAGATAATAACCTCAAGTTGTAGAGTGTTTTCCACCTTCCTGCGTTAGTACAACTAGCAAAATGCTTTCCATTTGCTGTGGGGGCAATCTACAACCTTCAATTAAACAATAGAAGGACTTTATAAAACCCTAAAAAAACATGCAAATATACAGCTGACACAAGCAGCACACAAAGCTGAACCTAAACCTGAGGCTAATGGAAGAACCTTGACATTGGACTGAAGCAGAACAAGAAGTCCTTCACCATGATATGAAAAATCAAAAAGCATACACAGGACTAACAAGTGAATTATGTATTAAAAAATAGTGATAAAGCCCTGGTAACAATTCTAAAAATCTTTGCTAATGCCTTACCAGTTCTCTTTTCAATTAATATTTTTGATTGCCATTACCTCTGTGTGATAAGCCTAGGAACTGTTGTATTGTTTTTTAAACACACAACAGGCAGATTTTTTTTTTAAAAACAACAATCAATTAATCAAATTCTTTATAACTGTTACTAACCACACCCAGTGGGCCCTTCCAGTAGAGTGGACTGACAAATGTTGTTGTTAACACAGCCTGTAATTTCATTGTGTCAAAAATGACTGCGTGATGGAACACGCCGAATTGCAGTGTCCTCATTAACTGAGTCAGAGAATGCTAGCATGTGAAATAGCAACCATCCACTTGCAAACTTCACAGAGGCTCTGTGTTAAAATACCAACAAAGTTTGTTCAGCAGATGATAGGAAATTATTTTCATGCACTTATGTAACAAAAAGAAAGATAAAACGCTGAAAGAAAATCCAAGAAGGAAGTAATTGGAGACATAAAAATGTGACTGACATGAGCTCAACTGACAGTCCCCTGGAGATTGTGAACCCAAATCCTCCTTATCCCCACGATGCAGCTCAGTTTGAACACCCTGCTGTCTCCCTGTGCTGCTGGCCCTGATGCAGCAGTTGTCTTCTGCTGAACAAAGCACTCACGCACACGCCTACACTGCGGCAGCTTCCAGGGATTCAGGCCTCTGCTCAACATCAAGGCAACACTTCAGTTCTTTGCTGGAGGAGGTTTCAGCAGGAGGAAAATGCAGTGATCACGGGCTACTGAAACTGAACACTCGTGCAGAACAGAATAGAAACTTGCTTGGTAAGACTAGAACGTGATTGCTGCACTTTGTGGGCACAACTTCCAATACATGCAGGCACTGGAGCATGAATTACAGGTCAAAGGCCAAAGAAATGATCCAGCTCTGAATCTCCTTGCTTTCATGCATTTAAGATTCCAAACCAAAAGGCAATGGTAATATTAGAAATGCAGCCAAACACATCTCAAGAAACAAACAATCACCTATACTTAATCATACTTCTGGTGACCACACTGGGACAGCAGTGGCTCATATTGCATACAACAGGCAAAAAAGTGAGCAACACTTCTCTTTTTCTTTAGCATGGATGTACTTAGCATATCCCTCAGCTACCTCTGTGCATGCATCTACCTCATCCATGCACTGCAGCTGGTTTGCACATGGGGAGTTACTGCTGAGAATGCCTTATTTTTCCATATGAGAAGTATCTCCACTGCAGAAAGTAGCTCCATTTTCTGATTTCCCCATCCTTTAGATTCATGTCTCATCCCTCTGCTGACAGCTCTGCAATGTCCAGGAGACCCTTACCTTCCTCCAGAACTCCAGTCTGCTCAGAAGCTGGTGATGGAGGTGGGGAAGGAGGCAGGTTGGCTGACTCTTCAACTGCTAGAAATCAAACAGTGAAAATGAGATAGTCATTAATTCCAGGAAGACCAATACATGATGTAAGCTGCAGTCAGCCTGTTCTGCCCAGCTGAGGAATTATCTGATGGGGACTCAATGCTTGCCAGATTTTTAGACAGATCCTTGCAGATTACATGGACTTTTTAAAATAAAAGGATTTAGTCTTCTGTTGTTGTTTTCTAATGGTATGAATTACTTACAAAATTCTGGTTATACAGCACAATATAAAAATCAAATATGAGATACTCTTTTAAATACGTATTGCCTCTTAAAAAGTGTTCAGTCACCCAAGGCAACAATAAAAAAGCTTGTGAGCACAGAGTTATTATAAATTCACACCAACTATCAGAAACTGGCACCCAATCTCTTTAATCCACCTTGAGTATGTGAAAAGACTCCATTCTGCACGCTTTTTTTTCTTCTGCTGCGTTCAAGGTTAATCACAGAACACATGCAAATATTGCTTGTCTAAATGCAAAAGATATCAGCACAGGGAACTTATATCAGCTGTGACATAACAGTGATTCAGCTGAGCAAGGCACAGTGAAAACTTAGATGCACTTGGACTGGGATTTACATTCATACCCAGTCATGAGAACAGATGCGAAAATAATTTTTTTTTCAAATACTTCAATTCAAGTATGTTGAAATTCTAAACAAGCTTCTTAAATGAACTCAGCATGACCTTTGCATTTGATCTCATACCAATAACTTAGTGAATTTTTTCTTTAAAAACAGATCCACTCCTGGGGCTTAACCAATGTTTAAAAAAAAAAAAAAAACAAATCTGTTTTAACAGCTCTGTCTTGTCAACAGCACCTTTCAACAGGCAGATCTCAGTTTACTGTTCAGGGCTCCTTTCCAAGCACAGGCAGAATTTTTCAAAAGCCCCAACAGAATTTTCCAGGCTTCCTCCTATTGATTTCAGTGTGATTTGGAGAAGACCATATGTGACTTGTCCTTAAGATGTGCTGTCCAGGGACAGAGTTTGTATAAACTCATCACAATGTATCTGATCACAGGAACTGTAACACCAAGAGTTGGTTAACTGATGGCATACTTCTCACAATGTCTTTTAAATTACTTATCTGACTAGATGGAACTGAATGCCCATTTTGCCTCTCCCAGGCCTGAGTGAAGTGATTTGGAGAATTGAGGTCTTCCATGTAAAACTGAGTCGCTGCAAAGAAGGGAATTACCAAGCAACACATCTCCCTGCTGCAGTTCTAAGTTAGTTCAATGAAGCAAAAAACCGTGGGAACAAAATTTCCAACAAATATTTTAAATTACCCATTGACTTTAATTCATTCCTAGGCAAGGCCAAGCACTGCACCAAAACAAGCAGATTACCTGTGGGGAAAACACTGCAGGGCATTGTTTTGATTTCATCACAATGAACATGCACTCAGCAGAATCTATCCCAGGACAGGCTGGCATGACTTCCTTACCTCAGGATGAAGAATGTCCTTTCTCTGGCCTTTTGTGGACATGTTTTGAGTTACTGCAAAAGCTTTCTAGCAAGGAGCAAGCACTTGAGGTACAAATGGCTTGATACCTACCTTCTTTTATAGATGGATAAGATAGATAACAGACATGTATATTTCAGAGATATTAAACAAAGGAGGCAAGAGGAGGATGGAGACACAGCATGGACCAGTGGCATTCTTACCCCTTCCAGTACAGACTGCTGGAATTTGCTTTTGCCACATGACTCCTCCTTCCACAATCTGCCCTCACTCTGCCTGGTGCTCTCAACCTGGTGTCCCCATTCATTCCTTTCTGCTTCCTGTGGAGGTGCTGCCCCCTCCATCCATTTGAGCAGCTGCCATCCAACCAGCAAAGCCTCACTTTCTTTTTATTTGTCACTCCATCTTTGCCTCTTCAGATGTTAATCCTTCACATGGCTCAACACAAACAACCCCAACCAACCTGATGACAAACCCTACCACCAAACACACTCATGGCTACTCAACCATGAGTCAAAACCAAGGTGGAGAAGTGCTGTTAGAGCAAACAGGGAATGAGACAGTCACAGGGCTATGAAGAACAAGGATCCTGCTATAATCCTGTGGTTCCAGCATTTATCCAGTGGTGGCTATGGTTTACAACCACAATCACAAGCAACATGAATGCATAGCTGGAACTACATTTTTAATACACATACAGACATTTTCAGACACAAGGATACCTGGAACATTCTTTTTCTCATTTTACCTAAAGGTAGTGATCCAGGCTGATCTTTGTGCTGGGCTTCTTTTTCCTGTTCACCTTTCAGGACTGCTACAGCTTCAGCTGTTACTACTTGTACTATCCTCGCAGACACTTCTTCTGTGGCAGCAGCAAAATCAGAAAAACAGAAAAAAAAGCATGCTAATCAGAATGGTGTTCTGAAATCAGAAAGATTAGCTTAAACAATAAAAAACCAGAGGCTGATTTAATCCATTTTTAAAAGGTAATCTTTTTTCCTGAAATACAAGGAAACCATTAAAAATAAAAGGGAAGGACCAGATATTCCAAAGGTTTTGAGTGGAAAATACCAAGTATTTATAAAGATCAGGAGCTTGCTCTAATCAGGATGCACAAAGCATCATTATTAAATGTTCCTTCTATTAGGGACAATGTGCAGCAACTGCAATATTTTAGGACAATCATTTATTAAATGCCTAGAAAAATGTCTGTAGGTATTGTTTTGCAAATGGGTAGAATGGGTAGCTGAGTAATGTATTTTTTGACATTTAATATACAAAGCTAGCTGCATTCCAACATGCCCTTTGGACTCTAATTCCTCCTCAGCAGCACACAGTATGCATTAAAGGCACTTCCCAGACAGCCATCTCTGCTGGTGAGGGGCTTGAAGGGCCAAATAACATTCCTGCATGGTTAAAATCAATACTTCACCTTCCTCACCCCTTTGAAGACTGCCACACAAAGATTTATTTAAACAGTAGGTGTGAGTACCATGCAGAGGGATGGCAGAGATGACATTTTTTTGGTGGAATGGGCTCCTTGCTGCTGGCCCCCAAGCTGCTCTGTGCATGGAGCTGACTCAGGCACTGCATGCTTGACAGAGCTGGGTGCCACAGAACCCACACTCTGCTCTTCCCCACTGCCCACAGGCTGCAGCACACCTGGAAGGGCTGAGAACTGCCTGCTCTGGTGAGCAGAATGTAGAAGTAGGACCACTCAAGGAGTGAATTCTTCCAAACTGAGAAACTGTCTCAGCTTGACTCCAGAACCACTCAAAGGTGCAGTGAGACCTCATCAGGCACACAGCTGCATAGGGAAGCAACCAGAGAAGTTTCCTCCCCTCTGGAAGTTCAGGTGCCTTTGATGTAACAAATCAAGATGTTAAGGGCTGGTCCAGCAGCATTCAGAAAGCAAAGGGTTTGTGGTTCTTATCTGTATTTGAGTCTGCTCTCCCTTAGTCATTAATCAATGTATTTCTCTCTCTCAGCCAAACTCAGTGGAAATAACCCCCTTCCCTCTCCAGCTATATCCAAGTGCTGTCTGACAGCTGTTCCCAACACAGATGGAGCTGACCCCCAGGGAAGGCCACAAGCTGCACAGTCAGAGCCCACCAGCTGCACAGCTGGGCACACCTGGGAACAGAGCAAAACTGCTTCTCCAGCCCTTGTGTGGAGACAGAGGTTTGTAATGGCAGAAGTCAATACACCCTGCTCCTGCCAGAGCCCCCATTAGTCATCATCCTGAGGGCAGGAATAAAAGCTCTGCTCACTCATTACCACATCCTTCAGGCAAGAACTGCCTGGGAAGGGCAAGTATGTTTAAATCAATGCCCTACATGTATCTTTACAGCAACCACTCTGACAAGGGACTGTCCATTAGATTAATAATGATTTATTTTCACAGTCACTCTTACAGAATTCCCTTGTATTTTTATTGTGAAGCTATTCCTCTTCATTTGTCCTTTAGAAAAGCCAATTGATTTTCCCAAAAAACACAGATGTGAATTACCGCAACCATGTTTGTCTAAAACCAAAGTGCTATGTTAATCTTACTTTTACACAAACTATTTAATGAGATATTAAAAATTCCCACCCACTGGCAAAGAACATTCCTAATTGTTGGTGTTTATACCTTACAATTCACTGCACTCCTGGCTGGTCACCTGGAGGGCACTAACTGCAACAGTTCCATTGGCTGCTGCCAACAGCAAAAGTAGATGGAGGAATACACCAGAACAACTACCAAGCAATGACACAAACAAGCTGATTTGAAAAACATGAATTTGCAAAAACATTTGAAATACATGGATATAAACTTGAGGATAAATACAGATTAGAAATCTAAAGATGCTGCTTTCCTACTGTCAGGGATGAGAAGTTCTGGCAGCCTTCCACACTGGAAGAAATAAATCAACTGTTTTTTGAGATGAGGCTACGTATGATAAAGGTGCCTGTAGGAGGAGAATATGAATAGCAGCTCTAGTTCTGCTCTTCTGTTTAACAACACATCCCTAGTATAAGATGAAAGTCCCCTCTGTGGTTAAGCAGATCAAATGGAGCACCATAACCCCACCAATCAAGTCATGCATGTGGCCAGTCCTATAGATCAAAGAGCAGGGATATTGATTTGAAGCCCAGCAATCTTCCCAGCTGCCTTTCAGGGGCCTGCACTTCATTTTGGGGCTTTGCACCTCCTTTTGGGCTGCTTCCACACGTGCTGGATGCTGGGGGTGCTTTTTGCCACCTCTTGGTTCCTTCCTCGCGTGAGAAACAAAAAGCAGACGCTTCCCAGACCTCCCAGACTCTCACATGGTGCTGCTGCAGACCAGTGGACTGGACACAAATGTGGAATCCTTACAGGTCCTGACAGCTCCCTGTGTTGTGAGGCACAGGCAGCCTGCAAAGCACGAGCTGGGAAAACCTGGAGAAGGAATCTGTAGCGAGGCCCATGCTGCTCCTGGGGCGCTCCCCACACCACAGTGTGCTGCAGCACCTCCCATGGGCTGGGGAGAGACAAACTGCTCTTCCACAAAGCAAACTTGGACAGCTGGTGTATCCCTGTTCACATTCTGCTCTTTCAGAGCAGGAAAGAGCATTGCCCTCACAGCTCTAGTGAGGAGGACAGCACAGAGCTTCACTGAGTGCCATGGCTACAGAAGACCCCACAAAAACTCCTGGCACCTGAAGGATGTGACACATGGCTCTCCTGTCAAAACTTCCACCAAGCTACTATCACAATACCAAAGCAACATCAGACCAAAGCAACATCATCAAGGCTATTGGCTCAGATGACAAATCAAGACTCAATGAGGAAGATTGTTAAAAGAATCCATTTTTGCAGCTTATGTTCACATGAAATTTTTAATGAAAGTCTCCAATTAATTTCTGCTATAGAATATGCAAACCTCTTTCAGGTTTAGTACCCTGGAACATATTCAAAGGAAATCCCCTTGGTCAACTGCTTTCCATGAGCCAAGCAACCCTCCTCTCAGCAGGGTAAATATAAATCATTAAAAACTGCCTCCTTTTTAATAGAATTTATACTTGTTCCCATCCAGCCTGGTTGTCTACCACAAATGGGCTCTACAAGCTCAGAAAGCAGTTCTCACCCTCTCAGCTCTCTTCCTGATTTAATTTGCCTGGGACAAAGATAATGCTCCACAAGGAGCTATGAGGGAGGGTGAAAGGTTGTCTCCTGTTAAATAGAAATTTCTATTTCAGGCTACGCAAAATAAGTAAATAAAAATACAAATGGCCTCTGGGCTTGTATGTTTTGTTCAGTTTGTTTTGTTTGGCAGTGTTCTTTAATCAAGAAAGGCTTATTTCTGAACACTCTGCTGATGGATATTTTGGGTGACACAGGGGGCATGGGCAGTTCATCAGAACAGTGCTTTTGCCATACATGACTGCTGCAAAAGGACAGACTTCTGTGTACTAATGGACACTATAAATAGAAGATCCAGTGGGTAAGTCAAATCCTCACAGGGCTGCTATTGAGACTTTTTTCATAGTTTTCTTATGGTTCAGTTAAAGTTCAAGGCAGCCTAATGATAAAGAACAAACAAACAAAAAACAAAACAAGACCCAAAAAAAGGGAAAATTAGGCAGCTTGAATGCTGTGGATGCTGGGCTATCTATTCACTAGACATGGTTTTGCTTGTAGATATTTATTTTCCCTCTCTTTAAACAATCAGACTCTCTCTGACTCTACTTCATGCCACAGAAACAGCATTAACATACAAAACAAGCTACAACAAATAGATTTATTTCTTGAAAGCAACAAGGAGCATGGCTTTACCTTAGACTCTAGCAGAACAAAGAACAGCACCATGCCTTTTCTTTGCATTTTGTAGACATTAAAATGTTGCTTCTTTTACCAAGATGTCAGCTGTTCATGGTACAGGACACAGACAGAACTTCAGTTTGATTTTAGGGAACACAGAACCCTAAGGTATAGGCAGCCCTTGAATGGGATGTCCATAACAGGGAGAAAACACAGTGAAAACCCTCAGCAGGAGCTCTCCAAAGCCCTGACAGGGAGCAGGCTGAGGTGAGAGGGCTGACAGACCAGGATGGCAGTTCTGCTGCTCCCTCAAAGGTCACTTCAGACCCCACACTCCAGCAGGGCTGCCAGGTCAGCTCTGCCCAGCTGCTTCCAGTGCCACGGCTCTTCTGTGGTAGGAACAGAGGACAGAGCCCTGTCTGGGGCACTACACTAATTTAAACCAAAGTTAAAACTCAAAGGAATTAAGCACTCTGTGCTCCTGGTTTTGGAAGTCAGCCCAATTCTTCTCCCAACCCCAGCACACCAAATCAGATCAGGAATCTCCGTGTCCCAGGGATGACTTGGGGACACAGACCCCTTCCAGGGTACTGACATGCACAGAGGATGCTGAACCAGCTGTGATGGAGAGGCACAGCCTTCCCTCTTGGCTGTGTTTAGAAGGCTGCTGCCCTCCTCACAAGTACACCCACGGGCACAGGAGCTGCCCAATCCCCAGCCCAGCCACTCCAGCACTGAGAATTACACTGAAGCAGGTGTAATTCCAACCTGAAATTCATCATTCCTGCACTCCCTCCTGACAGCTGAGCCCCCTTCCCAGACAGACTCAGGGCTGGTAAATGAGGCTCCATGCCAAAGACTGGCTACAGCACAATGCAGTATGTGGGATCAGATCCTGTACAAGGCCAAGATGTAATTTCAAAGCTCTCCTTGGTTCCTTATTGATCCTGCTGCATTTGTCATTGGACTGCAGATGTCTCCACTGGCACATTACCTACAACACTTCTATTTCCCATGACAGCTTTCCATTCCATTAACTTTTATAACAGACATGTTTACCAGCCCCAGAGACAGATATA